TAAGGTGGTTGCCAGTCTTTCCTTCAGTGCAGAGATTCACCTGCATCATTACTCTAAGAAATTGTAATTCTGCCTGATAATGTATCAGATTCTGATAAATCTACCTCTCCCAAGGGACAGGTCTATTGGAGCTGCAGGTCTGAACAGGCTTTCAAAGAGTTGTAGAGCATATCAAAGAGACTGTTTAACAGTCTATGAAAAGAGCATTTCCTATAACAATACAGGATATAGTTTTTTTGACACGTTGCTGGAAATCAGAGTGCTTTCTCTGCTGAAGAGAAGGAAATGCCAGGCACCTTCTATATGCAGCTGGCAGCAGGGCAGAGGTGTCAAAAGAGTTTTTTTCATGCCAGCATGACTGCAGCGGCCTTCTTGAGCCCAATAACCTCCTTTACCCAATCCATGTTTCTTTTTAAAGCCATACAGACTCTTTTCTTATTCTTGGTAGCAACTGTTAGTCCCATTCTTTTAATAGTGTGTACTTCAGTTGTCCTCAGTTACCCCCTCCTAGTTTCTTTTTACAAGAACACAAAGGCACAGTTGTCGCATTCCCATTTGAAAAGTAACACTTTTGCGACTGAACCATGAGCAGTTATGAAGTAGACAGTGACTGTGTCAGTATCTGCTTTCTGGGTTATGGCCTATTTATTTCTACCTGCCCAGAAGCAGCTTTACATTATGTCTCATTAACTTAAACTGAACACTTGAATCTCTGTAAATATTCTTCATGTGTTTTCATTATTCTGTGAATAATTAGCTCATACCTACGTTACAGAAAGATCTGAGCCACAGTCACCAAAATCAGTGTTTATGAAGAAATAACTGAGACAAGCATTTCATTTTAGTTTTTAATTTAGAGAAAGTAATTACTTGTCACAAATTTAAACTAAATTTTAGTTAAGTATTCAGATGAACAAAGCTACGATGTGAAAGTCTAGGAGACACATTTTGTAGTCTTGGTTCTGTACCCACATAATGAGTATAACAAATATACTTAGATTAATAATTTGATACATCATTCACAAGTTAAGAAATGAAAATACACATCCCATCCCACTTCACGAGGCTGCTGCTCCCATTTGACTAGCCTTGGTTTTTTTCTTATAAAGATTAATCTATGAATACATCTGTCTTCCCTTCACTGTAATACAATGTAATTCTTTCACACCCTAACTCACACAGGCTAGGACCTCATTATAAAAGATAAAAAAGGGCATGGGAAAAATCAAAGTGAAATCCACATGAATTCTTTGGTGCTCATAGGGCTTCCAAAACTAGGAGAGAGGCAACTTAGCAAAGACAACAGCTTGATTTTACATATATTCAAGAAGATTTTTTTACAGATTCTTTAATACCTTTGATACCTAAGCAGACAACCTGACAACTATACTTGGGTTTTAGCGTATTTAAAAGCTGTTCATATATTCAGCAGCTTTGCAGTATGACATTTGTAAACACAACAGAAGACAGGATGCAAGGAAGTTTTAAGCGTACTTTATTAATTTCAAATAATTGCCACTTCCCAACATCCTCCACCCAAGTTACAGTTTTACACATACTGTAGAAGATCGCTCTATCTCCGGTAGTATCACAGTCTGGTCTGCCTTGTGTACAGGTCAATATACACAGAAAGGTTCTTCAGAGGTTTAATGCCACTTACCCTATGTATGGAGATAAAGTACTATTAAAAAGGTTTTAAAGGAATCATTACATTCTATAAAAAACACTTAAACAGTTTTTAATTTTTAAATTACAGTAGTATATACCAGGGTAATAAAACCACATTCTAACTGCACAGGGCTGGGATCTTGTTTTTTCTGAATGCTTGCCAAACTAACTATGTTAAACGTGAAGCTCCTTGTCACCACGAGGGAGAAGGAAACAAATTAGCACAGTAGATTTAAACAAACTTTCTATATGTAGGGCCTCAGGTGAAGATACAAATTACATCTTCATGTACAAGAGGAAACGATAAATCATCCTCCTTCTTAGATCAGCTGAGAAATAGTTCAACATTGAAAGCTTTGTTGTACAACTCTTCTGTTTGCACCAAACTGCAACCACTGGAATTCAGCTGTCCACAGTGGCACTAGCAGCTACACTGCCCTCCAGAGACCACAGGCTGCTGGGACAGGTATTGCCTAAAACTGGAGAGCTTCCTTAACAGTGTCAAAGAGTCCTCAATTCTAGAGGCTTTTGAAGCCAGAACTAAAGATTTTCTATTGTTGCCAACAAGAAGTATCAGCTGAAGCTGATACTGGATCAAGGACTGAAATTCACTTGTTTTGAATAACCCATCAGCTCATCTCTGTATCAACAACAAAGTTTGACAGAATTAAAATAAAAAAATGAACCTGCTGAAGAAAAAAGTGCACCATCTGCTTAAATGTTTCCTAGTAAAAACACATGTATTTTCACCAAATATAATGGCAGATTTTTTCCTAAATTTCCTAAGTTTTGTACCAATCATTGTATCATTTTAAGAAAACTTCATTTAAACAGTAATGCTTATTTACCTACATTTAATCCCAATTAAAAAAAAAATCTCTTCAACCAGAAATTAAACAAGCACATCTATGTAACAAATTCTAATACTGTTAAGTATTTTTTCAGGAATTATCACTACTGCAGCAATGTTAATCAGTTCTAAATTGGAATGCTGGAAACCAAAAGATTAAGACAGAACTACATGAAGAGCATTTTTCATATCTTTTATAGGACAGAAACCTTTGTTCATGTCTTCTGGTAGCCATCATCTTCTTTTGAGCTGCACCTACAACACAAAGAACAAGTGAACAAGCAACTTTATGCTTCTCCAGAATAGCTCAAAACAGTTCTGTAGGCATTAAGGGGCATCTTTTCTACTGCTCTGTTTCTGTATCACCAACTCATTTCATTGTTTTATATTCCTATTTTAAGAATAAAGTACAAAGCAACAGAAAGAATAAGCTATTACTACAACTGTGTAAAACTGCCCTCAGAAGTGCTGCCTACGTTGTAAAAGTGCAAGTTACTTTCTCTACTTAACTAGCTATCAACTAGTATTTCATTAAACGTGAAAGCTAATTGCTTTTTTAATTTCCTGTATGAACAAGATACCTTGCTATGTGGAAATAAGGAGAGATTATTTTTTTTAAGAACTTTACAATATAAATTGAGAAGAGACAGGTTGAAGGTCCCAAATATGCATACAAAACCACCCATCTCCTGCTTGTTTTCGTAGTTAGTTCATTACATCTCCTCGGTGGGGTATTCCCCACCAGCAGAATGACTGCTTTGCATCATTTTTCCATTCTTGAGTGCACTAAGAGTGCATGATTGTTGCCATTATGTACCTAGACAGATACAAAAACCCTTCTTAGTTCAAAGAAGTATTATAAAGTATGTGAAACCAGTGGGGTTTTCACAGCTTTTCAGAATATATTAATAAAAACAAAAAGATTAACTTCTTAATATTATAAGAGACAACATTAAAACAGCAGTATGGACCTGAAAAGTTTGATTCTAGTTTCCTCACGCTGTATAACCAACTCAAATGTTTCAAGCTGTTTTAACTTGTTGCTAAATGTTTATCTACACATGCTGTCAGAAATAACCTTGTTAGGAAGGTGAAGTTGGTGTCTCAGCAAATCAGACCCATGGAGTAGGCGTTGAGTGGCCTGTGACTCGCTTTCCTTTTTCTCTTTCAGCACCATCAAAAGGAAAAGTGAGAAAAACAGCACAAACATTAGTTAAAGCCTGAATTTAATCCCACGTCCTACAGGAATAATTTCATTACAATGAAAGCAGTCAGACATTATCGGTAGGGGTTTTTTTTGCTTTGTTTTTGTTTAAGCAGTGATAATTATATATCTAATTAACATAGCCTATAGCTCTCCCAAAGATCATAACTTTTAATAATCCCTTTAATTAAAATTATTAATAGGAAATGCAGGGGTGGTTCTTACGAATTACCTGATTTACCATCACTGAAGACAGATTCTTTTAAAAATGGCTACAAATGCCTTGTTCACAAAAGACTTTATTATCTAATGATGCATACTGAAAACATACAGAAATCTGCATGGTCCACTTTACATGCAGTAGAACAATCTTCACTTTACAATAAGTAAGTGTCAACTGTTTTATGCAAGAGACAACACTTTAAAGTCACATTTCTTAAAGAAAAGCTTCATTTACAAAAGAAATAAAGGTAAAGAAGCAATTACCGCTTTTAAAAAGCAGCTGCTTTGTTCAAGAGTGGAAGGTTTATGCCTGTATTGAAAGACAACATGATCACAAATAATGAAAACAATGAACAAATGAAACACTTTTAGCATAAAGCAGTACACTTTCAAAATGACATACAAATAGTTAAAAATTTCATTATGTTTCTAGTTATCCTTTAGATATAAGGTCTTTCGAATGAGATCCCAACATATGTAATTACTAAATGAACTCTTCTGTAAGTACTGGTTCTATGTCATAGTGAATTGTATTTAACAAAATGTATACAAAGTCTATAGCAAGTTGATTTAAAAAATTAAAGTAATAAGAAACAGTACACTGAAGGCGCTCTATCCATCAAGTGCGCTCTCAAAATTTTAAATGTGATGAACAGAAGTTGTAAATATGCCACAGTTGCAATGCCAGAAAATAAAACAAGATCATTTATCAAACATGCAGGGATTTCTGCCACAATGCTATTGTCTCTCATTTGTCAGTTGTTCCACTAAAATAACAGCTTAAACACCGGTGATGTTGATGGGTTAGCTTACCTTCAGTGTACTGAAAGTTGTACACAACCTGCTTTAAAAGAGGAGACCATCCCTGCGGGCAGGCTCAAGAAGGAACAGACCCCCTTCGGCACTGACTACACCAAGGGCATGCTGCTGTGGCCTGCACACACACACCTAGGAAAATGTGAATATAAACAGCATTTATGCTGGCCATTTTTTAAAGACAAAAATGAAGCCAAGTCTGCTAACAACAAATCAACCACCCAGTATTACTGCTCCTTTTTTTTTTTTATAACAGATGCTTTTTTCTTTTTATAATATATACGAACTGCAACCATATACATTAGCATTGTACTTCTGTGCAGTCTTGGCAATTAAAACAGTTCTACAGTGAAAATTTTCACATAAGACACAAAACAAAATTACTCTAACATTTCTAAAAGAAATATCAGCCTTGATGTTAATTCAAATGTATCATTTCTTCCTCAACTTTGCAGGGGAAATATTTATGCTTATATACATTAATAACTGCTGTGAAATTTCTTCAGTCTTTGTATCTTAATTACTCAAACCCTTTAAACTTCTTCAACTGGTTTAAATTTTTTCCTGGATGAAGGCGTGCTGCAGAGCCTGGTTGATGCTAATCCGTTTAGCTGGGTCTAACATTAGGATCTGGTCCAACAAGTCCTTTAGCTGGTGTACTTTTTTACGCTGGTCTTCAGGGAGTCGCTGGCAACCAATCAAGTCTGCTAACAGGTCCTTGGTTGGATTAATGGTGCTCATAACAGTAACTTTCTCCTACAAACACAAAAATGGCAACCTTGTAGAACAGAAGTAATGCAGAACTCCCCTATCCCTTTTACACAGCTTCAGCAGCAACTTTTCTGCAGGGTTATCTCATATCTGATCAGCAGTGCCCTTTGTCATCCTATGGCCTCGTAACTCCTCACACGGGCAAAGGAAAAGAGTGGAAATAATGCTTTCAATGGGTAGGCCAGGCTGCATCTTTTGCCAGCACCAGGTGCACACATGAATCTAACATCCCAGTTAACTCAGAACATCAAAATTCTGAGTGTAAAGTTTCCATATCTGACCAGCAATTGTGATTCTTGATAAATACACAATGTTAAAATGATTCAGAAAGTAATAGTGACCTCCTACAACATAAGCACATCATTCTGAAGTTGGATATCCTTCTCTAAAATGAAGGCAGATTTTCTTTTATTAGTAATTTAAGGATAGATTATGTGGAGGTATCCTGCATACCTGCCAAAATTAAACTTAGATTTCTCTTAAACACATTCTTAAATTGTAGGAAAAAAACCTGTTGCCAGTTTATAATCATGTGACCTGTCCATACTGCTGCAAAAGGACATTCTAATACTTTAGAAAATTTTATTTTTAGTTAGGATGTCAAGATACATTTGAAAGACCATAATAGTAGGAAAGTTTGGAAAAAGTAATGGGTTAGTTGACACTTAAAGGACTTACCCTTTCTGTCACTTTATCTACTTCTATATACATAAAGTTGAGATTTTGATCAAAGTGCTGATCTTTGAAAACACCTTTTCGAATCATCTGGAAAATGAGGGAGAGGCAAGAGTTTCAGGCAAGTTCTCTGTATTTTACAAATTCCACAATTAGTATCAGCATCTACTAACTTAATGTAACATGAATAATTTAATACTAATGAAAAATATATCAAAAGGACAGTAAGAAATGTCTAGATTGAATAAAAAAATATAGTTCAGTTAAAAAAGGACACAGTATCTTCCATAGACTTACGTATTTTTTTTCAGGTCAGTGCTTAGAACGTTTCTGCTTTCACTTTATACTTAGTCTATGAAAAAGAAGCTGTATACTTTCACTTCATAAGATTTTAAAATCAATATTAATTATACAGTCAGAGCGATGTCTGATATTTACTTGCTGTTAAGAGAAGACGCATATGATAAGAAATAGAATTCAGGGAGAAAAAATAAAGTATGTTCTATTGTTCATTAAAGCAGTTTCATATTTTAATTAAAAATAATATACTTTTCTTACCTTGTTTGGCATCTTTCCTTTGAGATCCATGGCTAGTTTCAACATATGGTTATTGGTTTTGCCAGGAAAGAGTATTTTTCCTGTATAAAGTTCATATAACGTGCAGCCTACAGACCACATATCTATTCCATAGTCATAGATTTTTCCTATAACTGAAACAGAGCAATTCCAGTTAATTCCATAAAGGTAGCCTTAAAAGAAATAATATTACAAAACGAGACAGATGAAAAAATTCTGATTTGTAAACTATATTGGTGCTCCTCCTTTCAGGAATAAGAAGTCACCATAAAAGAAGGATGCAAACCTTTTAACCTTTACAGTGTTTCAATTTTAGAAAGGGAGGTTTTTACCTATCACTCAAACTAATCAGCATTAATTGACAGTAAAAAACAAGAAGTCAGAACAATACCTCTAAATTAAAACATAACTATAACCAATCAGAATGACTTCTCCCTGTCCTCACTGAGCTGACCACCAACATACATGAAGAGTCACACAAGCATGCTTTCAAAGTCTGAATTTTTGACTGCCATCATATTTCCAGAGTGATGTTTTGCTAAGACCAAACAGAGTAAATTCAAGTCAAATTCTCATTTGCTAGTAGCAGTATATCCTGCTACTGCTTATGACACGTGTAGCCAATCCAAATGTACTTACTGATTTCTGGAGCTCGATAAAATCTACTAACTAGATATGGTGTGATGTCATTATCTGCAACATGCGAAGCTGATCCAAAATCGCAAAGCTTTAATATCGTTTTAGACTCATTCACCTGAAAGTTAAACAAATATCCATTAGCACTATCTGTAGACAGAATTACCAACAGCACTGTGAAAGCAACAATAAATTTAAGTTAAGTAAAACATTCAGCCTTTAAATGGGAAGTTCTTCCCGTATTTCAATCCTTCCTCTCTGTATTCTAAGGAAACTGTAAAACCTTCTTAAATTGCAACTGACAATTAAAGTCTTTAGCTCCTGGGAAATACAAAAAAAGTCAGTTTCATTTACTTTTCCCTTACCAAAGTATCCTTGGTGGACCTGGATTTCCTTCCAGATCCTGAAATTATACCAATTTAGACTTTCAGCTCCAGTATTTAGAGTACGACTCATAAAAGTGTATTACTTACATATGTCATGCTTACATAGGTTTTATTGCTGTGATGGCAAGAAGTGAACATTTTAAATAATGTAAAAATCTGAGTTTTTCACAGGAATGACCACCAAGAAAACCAAAGGAAACATGGTTGATTCCTCTTATGTAGCTCACATGCTCTGCTAACCAGAATGTTTAACAGAATCAGCAAAGAAAAAAAAAAAAAAAAGGCATTAAGGACTTTTCCCCATTATCTCACGCACATAAACAAAATCTCCATCAAGACTCAAACAAACTACTTTGATTTTGCAGAAAGCAAGAACATTTTTCAACTATTAATGGAAAAAGTCCCAAGATTTCTCCCAAGAAAGGATACTGTCTTACTTTGGAAGATCTGCTTTCTAAAAAGATGCAAGTGGATGCAGGTTTGTTTGAGAAAGATTGTACTAAATAAAAGAATTTATTTAGATACAGTATTCTATTTCTTTCTTACTATTTACAACACGATAGCATTTTATATCAAAACATGAACCCTTAACATTTTCAGTTAAAATAAATTTTGACTTCACCTAAATTAACAAAATTATATTCATTTCAAATACTTAATTTTACATGATGGATGTGCAAAATACTTTTCATTTTTTATTACTTACCAAAATATTATCTGGTTTAATATCTGCATGTAGGATATTGCATCTTTTAAGAAGCTTTAAAGCCAGGAACAACTGCTGGCTGTAGGAACGCACAGCTTTAATATGGAGTCCAACATCTTTCCCATACTTTTTCAGCACCTCTCGTAAATTCATACTATTAAAAGAAAGAAAGGGAGAGAAAAAGCATACAAAAGAGCTTAAAGAAAAATATAGTGGCCTAAACTGGAAGACAATCTTGAAGAAACCAGTTAGCTTTAGGCATTTTTGGAGAAAAGCAACATTCAACTTGAAACACATACTGATCTGTTAGCTACAGCAATGAAACAAAAATGCTGGTCAATCAGATCTATCCTATACTGTACAATTACTTACTAGACTGGACACTTTTAAATAAAGATTAATTTTTTAATAAAGATTAATTTGAGGGGACTTATTTGCACATCAACAGCATTTTCTTAACAATTGTACCCCTTTGTACTTGTCTTCTGAAGAAATAAATAAAAAAGGAAGTGCACAAAACATACAGGTTGAGGAGGTGATTTTTTGGTAACTTGAACAGCAGATTACAAGACCACAATTTCAGGACAAACACATCATTGGATATAAATAATGTACAAGCCTGTTATAAAGAGATAGTGCAGCACAAGAAAACAATTTGTTGTATAGCTTATTAATGAAAATATAATAGTAATTTCATAAAACCTGCTTTTCTTCAGCATATAACTTATCTTCACCTCAAATACGGCAAAAATTAACTTAGGATACAAACAACTGATGTCTTTAACCAGGAATAGGAACTAAGGCAACTAATACATCTAGAACTATCATAAAATACAGTGTCTACAATTAACCTGTCAAAAGAGCCTAATTAGTTAAAGGAAAAAGCGAGCGTGCAAAGCACTAACAATTTTCTTCCTTAGACTGTTGTTACGGATGTACTCTTCACAGAACATACAGCATTTGCTGAACCTCTCTGGGAATGCATACTTAATCCAAACCCATAAAACAAAGAATTATGAAGACTACTAAAACACATATACGCACACAAATCATTAAGAGAAGCACTGGTGAGATGAACCATCTTTAATAATACATTATTTTGTTCCAAATCTTGTCCAAAGTTCACAATGATGCTTTAAGTAAATCAGAAATAGTTCAGTAGTTTGTGGATTTGTGCATCCAGATCATATATATATATATTTTTTTTTTTTTTTTTTTCTTCATAGGAAGTTCCTTGCATCCTTGAATCTTGTCAACAGAACAAGGTATCAAAACAACAGCCAAGAACAGAAAGGTAAAGATCCCTCAGTAGTCCTTTACTTTTTACAAAGAACCCCCGATTTGCCATCTTACCTGAGTGGCTCAAATACCAGACAGAGATGTTGTTTGTGGTAGAAATGCCTGAACAACCGTAGACAATGAAACTTATCATCAGGGTCTGCATCGTTGAGTTTCTTTAAAAATTCCAGTTCTTTTAGGCCAGTTTTTTGCCTGAAAACAAAGAACGATGATTAGAAAACAAAATCAGGGAAATTTTAATACCTCTTTTAAGTCTAGCCATTCACCTGTATGGTTATAATTATCAGGAAATGAGAAGTGTCTTGTCATTACTTAACGTACCACTGCTTAGAAAAATCACAACAGTGGTTCGCTGTCAGTGTCTACACATTGGGTAAGTTTATTTAATTCTTTGATCTTCACTGTGCCTTTGTAACCTACTTATCCTTTCCTCCTCCCTTCTGGTTGCATGTAAAGCTAAAAATAGATTTCCTCCTGTAATATGACACTATAGTTTCAAACAGCACTCACTTGAGAAGTTTACTTTTTTAAAAAAAAGTACTTAACCATATACATTATTAAAAAAAGTCTTAAGCTAAACTCACTATAGAGTCAAGTACACACCCAAAGTGATTATCTATTCAACACACCAGACTGAAATAGCTTATCCCCAACCCCTCCCCCCTTTAATACACACAGCAAGACAACTTTTAAAACTTCCAAGGTAAAATGCATGGAAAAGACTTTCATTAAGTTGTCTTTAATGCAAGAGGACATAATATGTGACTGTAGAAATGCGGCAGCAAATACTGAAAATTAACATTATAGACAAGTCCTCACACAACATAGTTTAATAGATCATACTAGTTAATGTTCACTCATTCTGAAAGACTTCAAATATTTTTTTAGTTTCAACAGGGAAAGTTCCATCCCTTTTTATATATCCTATACACATGCAAACATATAGAGAGCATACAAAAGTAATTAATGTATTGATGTCTTTTTGTAAGTTGCAGGTGATTGATTAGGATCCAACCAATAGCCCGCCAAATCAATTTAGTCCATCGAAATGAAATTTTTACAGTCCATGACTCCCATCTCAAAAATTTTAGGGCTGGGCAGGCCTCATAATTAACTGTAACCTTGTTTCTTGCTACCACCATTCCCTGCAGTTTTGCAAATGAGAAAGTGCCTGATGAAAATACAAGTACCCTTCTCCTGTGATAGCTGTAAAGAAGTGTGGATACATAGTCCTCAAGCGCTTCCCATTATCTGGCTCATATTAGCAGAAAAGGCAGGAATCACAGCTGTAATCTGTTACTTCACTTGAAACAAAGGGAGATTCAAATCACATCATGAAAAACTTCCAGCTGTTACATATGCTTTATTATTATTAAACAAAACATCACTTACATAAGTTCATTGTTCCTGATGATTTTAACAGCTACTTCTTGGTTTGCTCTTGCCATGTCCCTGGCTCGTACTACGTTACTGAAGACTCCCTGACCAGTGTAACCATAGACATTGTAACGTTTATCTAGAACTTCACCTATATTAACACCTGAAGGATAAAATCAAGCAATTTAAAGAGTTATGAGTGACATATGTAATGCAACATTGTATGAAAAAAAAAAAACATTCTGCATAATCTAGAAAAACAGGATAAATTGTATAATCACTTAATTTCATAGCGTACAATGTCTCACATCACCTAGCTTTGCGGAAATTATGTGGAACAAACTGTGATTCTGTAAGTCTGGAGTCTTTCGTAACTGAGGTTAAAACCTGCATGCTCATTTTGTCTATCACATTACATACTCAGTGAGGGCACTATGATATATTTACATTAGAATAACATTTCAGTGCTTTTTACATGAGGATCTTTTCCCTTCAGCACCCTCATTGTAGCTGTCCTTGCAAATCAACAAATATAACTTACGGTAATAGCCTTCAGCATCAGTCCAGTTATCCCTGAGATTGGGGTTTTCTTTGAAGTCTTTCCCAAACCCAGCAGCCCTTAGACGAGCGCTCTGAAATAAAAAGTAACAGCTTTGCTTGTGTGATCTATGTTTTTCCTTTATGTTTACTTTCAAAAGCCCTTTTTTTCCTACTCAAACACTGTTCCTCTCCACAGTACAAACACACTTGCCTTGTAGGAGAGAGAAACTACTGAACACAAAATGCTATTTACACACCAATATCTAAAGACTGATGCAAGGAAAGAGGAGGGAACAACCAAAAGAGCTATTATTAAACATAAATGGGCAAAGTTTCAATTAATACCCACAAGAAATTTATACAAATCATGTTAGAATGCACTTTTTGGATCTGAATAAGATTTTTTCTTACAGTATGTTTGTAGTAATAAAGTTTAGCAATTTGTGGTGAATATGTAGCTGTTTAGGCTTTGAATTTCTGTTCATTCAGTGCCACTTCAGATTTTATACTATTATAGTTATGATCATAAAATTACTACAATTGCTGTTGACATGTCATAACAGATTTGACAATAGATATCACAAATTCAAATCTATGAGTAGTAAATAATATCTTCAACTGAATAACAGTTTCTGGAATGGGGAACTGCTCACTTACAAGCCACTGAAATCCCTACTTATAACTTTCAAGTTTTTAAAAGTACACCTCCCCACACTCTCCAAGTACTTATCTTTTTACAGGTCAAAGGGGGATTCATATTTTTATTTCATTATCATCAGTGTTACTAGACTGACACCATGGCAGCCTTTTGTCACCAATGCTTCTGTCATAACTAATAAATTATGTCTGCCATAAACCAAAATTAACTGGAGAATTTCTAAGTTAAGAAGAAAGTTGTTGTCTTGACTTATTTCTCAGTGTTGTGCATCAGCAACAATGAGGTAGATTTATAGAGAACAGCAAGTAAAGTCTCAAAACTAGTCACTGGACTACCAAGATTTGCAGGCTACTTCAGTACATTTAGAGAAAAGCTGCTGCAAGAGTGCAAAAGTAAGAACAGGAAATGCATCTCTACAGCCAAAAGAAACCCCCCTCCCCCCAAACCACCACATTACTCCAATGCACCATCATGAGCAAACTAAAATATCTTACACAGACACCTTTCAATTAACCATACATGAACCTCTGAAAAAAGCACATATTTAGAATAGTGCAGCATGGTAACATTAACATAATGCACATCTTTATAAGTTTGTTACTGTGTGCCGTTATAGGTCCTACGCAAACAACAGGTGAATACCTAATTGCTTACTCTGGTAAAACTCTCACTAATTTAGGTTTTCTTTCACTGACGTATTCATTAAGAACTACTTTCCCTTGGTTGATCAAAAGATTCAGAACATACACTCAGTTACACATGCTTTTACAAATCAAAGTTCCTGCAAACCTCAGGTGACAGTAACTCTAACAAAAAAAAAAAAAATTCACACATTTAATCTCCAAGAATTACCTACATCAAAGTATGCAGCAAACATATCATCCGATTCAGTGAACATATCAGGAGCTAGCAGCTTCTTCTGAGCTGAACCTGAAAAGGAAATTTAGATTACTCAACATGAAAAAGATGACAAGTAACTGTTACCAGTATAAGTTGCGACTTGGTGTCTTTACAACATAATCTAAGATCAGTATGTTGGCAAACAGGTAGCTCTACTAATGCTTCAAGCAAATACCATTTTACATTCTAGAAACACAAAACTCAGACTGGATAAGTTCTTCAAAGCACTCAATAATTTACACCTTCTTGAAAAATAAAGTATAATAGCTTTCAAATAATTCACACAGCAGAAAGCAAAAAGTACATACTTACATGATTGCTACAGATAATGATTATTTACATATGTATGAAAAGAAATATAAAATGACTGTGTGCATATATAAAAAAAATACAGACATGTTTTCAATACGCAAGTTCAGGCTATTCTGCTAATACAGGGTATTTTACTAAAAACCAAAGCTGTAAATCCCCCAAGTTGTTTCTTTGAAAAATGTTTTCTTCAACCCTGTCAAAACGGACCTCATGTATAGCTTTCAGTCAACGTTAACTATTATGTTTAAAGAGAAACATTTTTAATGTGGGCAAGATTATCCCTTTCTCACTTTTTAATCATCTTTAAAGTCCCAAAGACATTTTACTTGGTTGGTAAAAGCACAGAAATATAAATTTAAGTACGCATTAGTGAAAGCAAGTAAACTTCAAACTATTTCATAACACACATTATGGTAGTATCTCTTAATGACCATGGTAAATCCCAGACACTCCCTTTAGGGTATTAAGCAATGGAGAAAAATAAACAGTTAACCTCAGATGGTTCAGGTCTCACGATGCATATAGCCAACTACTTGCATACATAACAACGAGACTGAAATCTTCTGACAGCATGAAAACCTCTCATCTCATCCATCATGCTGACACGATTGTTTCAAGGCATAGATCTCTCACCTGACACAATGGGGAGACACGTTACACCATTGTTTCAACATATAGAGCCTTCCAGCAACTTCCTCAAATTTTCTTTTTACTTCCAGTTACCTACACTTGCACTGGGCTACCATGAGTTATTAACTAGTTCCTTAGCAACTTACTATCCTGCCTCTGTCCAAGGTCAGGATACAAACAATAGATGGCTCTTACAAAGAAAGATGATCCACTGCTTCCATCTGTTGTTATAGCCACCTCCAACCCAGAATTCTACCAATATATGAAAATTCCCAGATTTGAGTGTAACTGATCTGTTTTTAAAAACAAACCCTTTTCATAGGAAACAAACCTTTGTTTCATAGGCTTTTTCACCTTAAAAAAAATCTACGTAGTTAACAGTTATATTTTCATATACATTAGTGGACAAAATTAGAAGGCAGTACGCTCCTCTGACAAAAAAGGAAAAAGATATTGTCAGTTACACGTAAGAAGACTAAGTCTAAACTTGTGGTATGCAAATAAAGGAAAAGCACATCAGATTGTTGTTTCCATCTACATTGCAAGAGAACAATCTGAAAACATACTGCTCAAGGGAACACCAGGACAAACTACAGAGCAGTAAACCAGTCCCAAAGAGATGCAGCTTTACTACTTCAAAAAGAAGCATCCACTAGAGCATAGTGGCTATTTAGCTCCAAGCTAACTGTCCAACCATTTCCTTAAGGGTTGGGCAGGTTTCAAAGCCCTTGTTAAACAGTGTGCTGTTACAATTAAACTGTAAAAAGAGAAACTGAAGCAGTTAAAACTAGCTCAAGCATGTCCACACAGCAACTAGTCAAACCTTTTGCTTGGAAGACGTACAGTAACCTACTTCCAAAAGACAAAAAAAAGAGAGCTGATTTTCAGTATTACCAGGTACACTGGGAGACACTATGTTCTTTTGCCGCAGCAAGCACAAGGAAGGTAGGTTTTATATCAAGATGTATTTCATTTCAGTGTTGTACAATATTTTATGTGCAGGTAGAAAGAGGAGGAAATAGCCATTTCTTCAGCAAGAAGATATCCCACCAAAATGGACTTAGTAGCAATGACTCTCAAAAGCCTTAACCATTCTAAATTACTACAAAACTATCTATATTCTTCTAACACAGTGGCTTTGACCAAAAAAAGGGACAAAAGGGCCAGGGTTTCCAGCCCACCCCAAAATAAAGAGTAGGACTATATTAAGCTTCTAAGGAAACAACATGCACAAGTGAAAATAAAAATCTGGCAATTTAAAAAGTTGATTCTTAACTATAAATACAGGCATCGCATCATTACTTGCTCTACCAAATTTATAGCATTAATTGTGTTAAGAGTTATGAGAAATACAGAGAGCATGTTCCATTCATACAATCCTTCTTAATGAGCAAGCTTTAATGTTATGTTTTAAGCACCATAATATTCGTGGGAACATTCTCAAACTCTGTCCAAAAAGTCAACCTACTTCCAAGTCTGGAAGGATTTAGGCAAACTAAGCAAAATGTCTCTTTTGAAGTGATCTGCTTAAGAGTTGCACTATGCATTGAGATTACAGATTCTTACCATTGTTCTGTTCAACCGTCATGAGGTTGTGCTTGGCTTTTACCGATGCCTCAAATGTGTCCACGTTCTCCCGTTCATACTCCTTAACATCAGCAGCTACTCTTTCTAGAATGTCATCTGGCGAATTTGAACGACTACGCGTACTACTTTGAGGACTGCTTGGTTCAGATGGTACAGATATATTACTGTCTTCTGTCTGGCCTTTGTATTTCTAAAAAGAAATTCAATTATTAATCTCACTATCACTGCTTATCATAATTTAAGCATTTTTATACTCACTCTTTCACTGGTTTGTGCTAAACCTTAACCTTTGTTTTCATAATCACCTACATCTTTAATGGCAACAGATTATTTGCAGAATGGGATACAGCTTTTGAAAACTCATTTTGCTACAATGCACTGCAGCCCAGACCACAAAAGATTGTTAAATTCACGTGCGTCCTTTAGGCTTTTGCGTTTCTGTGAAAAGCTATTTTTATTGAAGACTAATTATTTTTCGTGCGTGACTAAATGTCAGTAACAATAGATTTATTACTACACCATTCCAGCAGACAACTAATGTAACAAAGTCTTCAAGGAAAAAATAATATTCTTATATCTGACATCCTAATATCTTTTGCATTTTTATTAGTGTTATGGTATAGAAAAGCAGATTTTAGATTTATGTTTTTTATTTGAATTGGAAATCCTGTTCGTTCATTCATTCTTGTTTAAAAATTTCAGATGCATTAAAAAAGTTCAAGACAACACCTTTACAAATTATTTTTTTTTTAACTCAAGAAGTATGAATTTATACAAATACCACTTCCTCTCACAAAAGTTAAAAATCAAACTGAATTAATGCTGATACCCCTCAGTTATCAAGGTCAAAATAATACTAGCAGAGGTTCCCCATTTAAGAAATGAAGCTCTGGAATTTGGTTCCTGCATGGACCAACAACAGGTGTAACCAGCCTTTAAAAATAATTTACGGTTAAAAATAATTTATGGTTTTGCTCTGTCATAGCTTGGAAGGATTTTACAATGGGCTTTGCACAAAAGTCAAATGATGAATAGTATTTTTAGTGTTGCTTAAAATAAGCACCACATTATAACTGGTATTTTTATACGCAAATATTAAGTAAATCTGCTACAGCGTTTTGCTTACTACTACATTCTAACTGCGTACTAAAACCCAACTTTTTAAAAAAGAAACTTGTCCTGTAGAATTACATCCTCTTTGGCCACAGCTCAATCACATACTACCTGTCACTACTGTTACCTGCTTACCAGGAATAAGAAGTTCATGAGAACTCACACGTGTAACTGAATATATTATCCACTTTCATGAGGAGAGAGGGAACCCATGTCAGTGGCTTTATAAAGTTTTGGAAATGGACAACTTTTACTTGAAACAAACTTACCAGTTTGGTTAATTGATATGTAACTTAATGCTATACTGACATTATTATATCAATGATACAGCTACAAAGAAAACCTACAGATTAAGATAACTGAAGAACATTTTTAACGTGTCATAGGACTGTCAGAGAATGCTTAAGTGTAACACAAAAATGACTCAAAAGCAATGCTGTTGCAATAAAAGTGTAAAGTTTAACTGAGACATTTACAATAAACTAATTGGAAAACATATAGTAATTGTAATTACTATCATAATGTAATAATAGGCTAAGAGCCTTCCCTTAGCACATTTTACATGAAAAGCATAAAATCAGTTTCTGTAACTCATGTGATAATATAACCGTGTACCTGAACTATTGCTTGCCGCTGTAATCTTCTTTGTCTTATCTCTGCTTCTTCATCCTCTTCTTCCAAATCAAAGTCTTCAAGACTATAAAAATACAATTTTATGTTTATGATGCTATATAAAAAAGTAATTATCAACTGAATTTTACCAAATGCAGCTCTGTGGCATAGAAAGCACACAATATAATAAACAATAGCTGTTCAACGGACTCAGAAAACAAAGGTGTATTAAATCCCAGTGTGTATATTTACATCTTACAGAGAAAATTCATATTTCACTATCTCATTAGGACTGAGTATTTAATTTTTAACTGCAAACAATCAAGAGTAACTGCTTTTTAAGGGAAAAAACAAAAACAAAAAACCTTGTTCATTTTCATTCCAGCATCATTCTTCCTCCATAATTTAAGAACCCATACTCTTGTGCAATTGGAGTAAGTAGATATTTAGCAAATATAAAACCAATTTGCAGAGAGCAATTAATCCTTTCAGCTGTTACAGTTTTTCCTCAAGAAATAAGCCTCAGGAAACAGACCAAATGTTTTCATGAGATACTGATCAAGCTGAATTTAGAAACTAAACAACCTATCATCCCCTCGGGTCTACCCACTAGCCAACAAGTCTTGATATTTCTTGCATACTCCAAAGTTTTCCAGATTAACTCAAAAGTAATTTGACAAGATCACAAGTACTAAAACATGATTAAGGTTTTAGGTGACAACCCAAAAAACTACACCATGAACGTGAATGTCAGTTTATTCTCCATATCAGTTGATCTGTATTTTTAGATAGTCAGCACAAGTTAAAAATTAATTCTTACTTTTCATCCGATGAAGACTCCTGTTCAGCTTTCATGCCCTCAGAGAGACTACCTTTAAATTTGTCTTCTTTAACTTTGCTTCTGCTCCTACGTCTATGGGCACCACGTGACCTGGACCTCCTTCGAAGGCGAGACCTACTTCTTCGGCCTCTATCCCTGGTAACAATAAGAGGGGTTTGGGTTTTAGGGATTTCAGTTTGGTTTGGTTTTTTTGAAGAAAAGGAGGAAAACCTATTCATAAAACATAAAGGTACGTAATGACTCCTACAAGTAACAAAACAAATGAATTAATGGAGGACAAAATGAATTAAACTATGCTAGCACATATAAATGTAGACAAAAAAGCATAGCCTTTTTACGCATAAGATAGCAATTATTATTATTTTAGGAGTATCTTACAAAATATATTAAAAAATGCAGTGTGTCTTTACCTCCTCCGAGGGGACCTACTCCGCCTTCTCGGAGATCGGCTACGTCGAAGGGGTGAACGAGACCTCCTTCTAATGGGGGACCGAGACCTTCTTCTGGATGGGGACCATCTACTGGGTGGGCTAACATCTTTTGATCTTTCACGTCTAGACAAAATATCATCTCTGTTTCGTGTTCTTAAAATAGAAGAAGAGAATGACAGTAAAATCAGAAGCAAGCTGAAAACAAAAATCACAATTCCCTCTAAAAGCTCACTTTAAAAATCTTACTGCAGGTGAGGGGCCACCAGATGGGCTTCTGAGGGAGGGATGGGTAAGTATGCTGCAGAGCTGGCTGCCCTTCTTGACACACATCTGGCCACCCTGGGAAGTACATGCCCATACATAGTTCTAGTTCAGGACCACTCTGGAAACAGAGCTTGTCAATTACTACCACAAAGCTGAGAGATGTTTTAAAACAAAGCTTGTGTTTAAGTCTTACCTAAACAGTGGCCAGTTTTCATGTTTATCAGAAACAGTATTTTAACTATAAATAAAACCCAAAACTAATTATTGGGAGCTCTCTAAGCAACTCAGTATTGGAATTTAGGACCATGCTACTCCACAGCAATGACTTTAATGTCTATTTCAATTTGGGCAATAGAACCAGACAGCTTCAACATTTCACACATTCCAATACAGCAGCTGAAAACTAAAACTCTTAATTAACATGTAAACTAACCCTTCTGAAATTAAAAAATAATTCAAGTTTGACACTATATGCTGTTCAAAATTCATTCATTCTTGTCTATACATATTCATAATTATGCAGGAAAAAAATTCCTTGATGCGACAACTACATTAAAAAGATTAATTGTATTCCACAACAGCAAGACTTCAACAAAAAACTGGAAAGAACACCAGTTAAAAATATTTAACTATTCTAATGAGGCTGCAACAGAAATTCTTGGAAAATATTTCCACACCATTGTTCAAAAAAACCACTGCTACTCTCTATTTCTTTTCTTTTTTTTTTTTTTTTTTAAATTGTGACAAGTTATTGCAGGTAGTATCCCTCACCAAAACAAAAATCTCTTAGGTCTGAAAGATTAATTCCACCCATTCTGTAATGGTTTTTGTTTGTTTTGAGACTGCTATATAAGCTTCAGTTACCTTAGCTATGTCTAATGACTAGGCATACGGAACTGACGCAAAATAGTAAAGAGCAGGACAGAAGGAAAATGTATGCACATGCAGAAGTACTGACAGTTTCTATAAGAAATTACTGTAGACCCAAATGCTGAAGCAGGCTGATCCCTTTAACCCGTTTAATTTATGTTCTTGTGAACAATATTACAAAAAAAGTCACAGGATAAACTGACAGTTACAGGTTTCCTGGCTAACAAAGTAGTTATACTGCCAAAATCAAATAAAAATAACTGTAAAAAAAAAAATCTGTTCAGGGATCACAGGAATAAGATAAAAAGTAGAAGCTGACTAAGAATTCATAGTAATGTCATATAATGAATAACTTCAAAGACCTGAGAAGTATCTTACATGATTAGAACACTGGAAACAAACATGAAAAATAAAATCACTGGGAATTTCTGGATAACACTGTTCGTTAAAGCTCCTGAAATTCTCTGCCAGCCTGAGTACTTACAGGCAGTTAAACCTCCAACACAGCTGGAGTTAGTTCAGGATGTCCTACTAAGGACATCCTGC